ATATATATATACTTTACACAATTATTCTAGCTAGAGATAAAGTTATCAATTATAATGGTTTTCAGAAAGATAATAGTAATTGCATTACAATTAACCTAATTGTTTAAATATTTTTTTCACTATTAGTCAGGGCCGGCGGAGCCAGTGTTCTGGCTACAAGTTTGGCGCACCCAGTAGATTTGGTTTAATCCATATATTTGTTTTGAATAATTCATTTATTATTTACAATTTATTAATTTAGAACCCAGTAACTTAAAATGCTTAAAATTTCGAACCCATAAGCTTGAAATTCTAGCTCCGCCTCTGCTATTAGTGCATAGAAGGGGAACCATGGAGCAATGGTCAAGTTGTCACCCCGTGACCTATAGGTCACAAGTTCGAGCCGTGAAAACAGCCACTGATGCTTGCATCAAGGTAGGCTGCCTACATCACACCTTCTTGGGGTGCGGCCCTTCCCTATCCTGCAACTTTACACTGCTAGTGCATAGAATTAGACCAGTAATGCCAATCAATAATCAAATATGTTTAACCAATGTGATTTATAAGTACATTGTGATAATTGGTTAATTTTTTTTTAAAAGTCGAATAAAAAATTAAAACCGCAAAAGGTTTTTATTTGAACTAATGATTCTTGTTTTTCAGGTGGAGCGAATCCCATTCGGTTATCAAATTAAAAACTTTGAAAACACGTTGGTGAGTTTGATAAAAAATATGAGTGCACCAATTGTGGAAGAGGCAATTCCCAAATGCATTTTCTTTGTTGGGATGGGCAGCAATGACTACCTCAACAATTACATTATGCCTGCTTACTTTACTCAAGATGAATACACTCCTCAAAAGTTTGCTGAATTATTGGTTCATCAATACAAAGAGCAATTGATAGTAAGATCTCTTCATTTCCTTTAATCATTCAACTTAGGCATTGGAAGGGGAGTCTCGAATCAACAGTAAAGTTGTCTCCTTGAGGCCTATAGATTACAGGTTCGAGCTGTAGAAGCAGCCACTAATGCTTGCATTAGGGTACACTGTCTACATCACACCCCTGAGGTGCAGCTCTTCCCCGGATCCTGTGTGAATGCAGGATGCTTTTGTGTAGCAGGCTGCCCTTTAATCAACTTAGTCATAGGAAGGGGAGTCTCGGAGCAATAATAAAGTTGTCTCCATGTGAATTATAGGTCACGGGTTCGAGCAGTGAAAGCAGCCACTAATGCTTACATTAGGATAGACTGTTTACATCACACCCCTTTACAGTCCCTCCGCCCCTAGTTGCAGCCTTTTTCAGACCTTGCATGAATACATGATGGTTTGTGTACCTGCTGCTTTTGATCAACTTAGCCATAGGTACACACTAATATCACACGTAAAAATTTATCCGCGCTCAATGTTACTATGCAGAAATTATATAATCTTGGAGCTCGGAAATTTATAATTGCTGGGATTGGACAAATGGGATGCATCCCATTCTTGCTAGCAGAAAGTTCAAATGGTGAATGCTCAGAAATAGTGAATCAAATGGTGCACCCATTCAATGCCAAATTAAAGACAATGATCATGACACTCAACAAGAGTGAACTGCCTGGTGCCCACTTCATTTTCCTTGACATAGAAAATATGTTCAAGGATATCTTTATCAACTACAAGTCCTATGGTATGCCTCATTTATTTCCCTCTTTATCTTAGTAAATTACACTTTATATGTATGAAAAACATATATGTTCAAGAATATCCCATTTTAGCTAAATAAACTCCAGTCCATACAAAACCACTCGTGGCAAGGGATATTTCGACTCTCGCATCGATGAAGAACGTAGTAAAATGTGATACCTGATGTGACTTGTAGAATCCCGTGAACCATATATCAAGTCTTTGAACGTAAGTTGTGTCCGAAATCATTAGACTGAAGGTACGTTTGTGGGGACCCGTGAACCACGTAGGGCTAGGTTAGGCTGATCAATTTATGGCCCATTGAAATAGTGGGCCTGCTCGGTCCAACCCGTCAAATGCCAAAGCCCATGTAGGCGTCCGGCCCGGCCCATATTGACAACTCTTGGTATCACGCATCACAAAAAAATGTAAAGAACAAACTACATCTCATATTCTTCAACTTCTTTATGACATACTTTGGGCATCTTAACTGCTTATTTATACTGCACATTAAGAATCCGAAAGTTGTTAGTATTTAATTTCTTTTTTAAATCCACTTTTTTGTCCAACAGCATTTCTTATCTAAGTCTATGCCCGACGATATGTGTCTTAGTTTTAGTACTTTCTAACTAAATTTTAAAAGCAATTGATCTACCCAAGTGAAATAGAAAACTTGTATTTAAATAGCTAACTAAAGGTAGATTGAAAGATGGAAAATAACTAACGAATAACTTCTGTACACTGATCGTATAAAATATTTTACACTACGAGATCATTTGAAAGATAACTACAGATAACTGCTTATAATAAGTGGAACTAATTACCTAGAAAATAAGGCACACAACACGATATGTAAGTGAAATGCAAATGTGACGCTCTCTGTTTCACTTTATGTAACACATTTACTATTTGGAGAGTCAAAAAAGGTTTACTATGATCATATTTTTTTCCAGTATTTTTAAATATTTTGAATTGCTAAAGATTATTACCAATAGTACTTTTAATGTTGTATTTAAATATGTAAATTTTATTTCAAATAAATTAATTTTGTTTTGACAGGGTTTAGTGTGAAAGATCGTGGGTGTTGTGGGTCAGGGAAAAACAAAGGGGAAGTAACTTGTCTTCCAATGCAAACACCATGTCCAAATAGAGATGACTACTTATTTTGGGATGCATATCACCCAACTTCTGCTGTCAACCTCTTGCTTGGAGATATGGCTTTCTATGGAGGTCCCAATTTTACTTTTCCTATGAATATTCAGCAACTTGCTACTCTCTGAAATTCAAGACTATGAAATATAATGTAGTAGTCATTTTTTTCAAAAATATAATCCAGGTCTTCCTTGTTATGGATGGTTATTTACATTTGTTAGCAGTGATTGCTGAACTATAATTTATAAGGATATTTCCTGGATTCTCTTTTCGACCCTTCTCGTATACCTTGCATCTTATACACTACAAAACGAACTGCAATTAGCTATGAACTTCGTTGCCGATCTATCGCTAAATTGCTCGTAGCTATCAGAATCTTTTGATAATCTGTCGCTTATCCATCGCTAAATAAAATTAGCGACAATTTTTTTGTGTGTAACTACCTAATTTATCCGTCAATAATTCTTATTTTTTAAACAATATTATGTGATAGTATTCAATGCTTTAATTGCAAATTAAAATTATTACCCCCTCTTATCCATATTATTTGGTGTTTTTGCCTTCAACATACCCCTTAAATAACTACTTACTCTACGGAACTAAGAAGAGTTTTGACAACATTACCCTTAATTAAATTTACACAAGGAAACATGCATATTTAGTTGAAAGCAATATGGCATAATATTATGTGCATATCAAGTGCCTTTGAAGAAATATGGCATAATTGTTTTGCACTACATTGGGATTACCCCTGATATTACGCACAAAAATAGTTCCTAGGATGTCTGCTCACAGGTTCTTATTTACAAACACCGGAGGAACTGCCAAACTTTTGTCCTTCCAAACATTTCTTTTGTTGCTCCTTCCTTTGCGAGGAGGTCCGCTACCTGGTTCATCTCTCTGAAATTATGTCCTAGTGTGGATTCCCCAATTGCTCCATCAGTGATCTGCATTAAAAAATAATAGAGTTATAGTAGTGGTTTCCGTCATTTAACATCCTTACAACTTGTTCAGAATCGGTGCTAATTTGTAAAAGGGTGAAGTTGTGATCAAGGGCTATTTTTAGATCTTGCAAGAGGGTATGAAGTTCTACCTCTATACTAGTTGTATGTGATATACCCCTTATGAATCCTAGCACCCAGTCTTCTCCGTTGTTCCTGAAGACACCCCTAATCCCTTCCTACTCCTGTTTTTGGGCAAGCAGCCCCATCTGTGTTAAGTTTGTAGGAGCCATTAGGTGGGGGTTCCCATTTGATGTGTACTGCAGTATTTTTTCCCATGTCACTATGGTGGACAACAACATGGTAATACTCTGTAGCTCCAGTCAATAGAAGCATTGAAATGCATGTTCTTGACCTTATGCCATGTTTGTTCCCAATTGATCACTGTAAACACAAGGTATGAGTGACAATCATGGTTTGTACACTCCTGTATCAGAGATAGCCAGAAGGTTTTTGCATTGGTGCACTCAAAGAAAATATGATTAATGTCTTCCACTCCAGATGAGCAAAATAACATATGGGGATTACGTTTAAGCCAATGCTATTTAGGTGCTTTGCAGTTGACAGCCTGTTGTGCTGCATCATCCATGTGAACATTTTATTTTTTTAGGGACTTTCAGTTTCCAAATCCAGCCAAAAGAATCACCCTAGCCATTATTGGGGTTCAGCTTAGAACTAATAAGGTTGTAGGCTGACTTAATACTAAAAAGCCCATTACCATTGAGGTTCCAGATAAGCTTATCTTTGGTGTTGCTTTAATCAAGGATGAAGGCGGAGTGGATATCACTTAAAATATCCATGGGAATGGGGTAATGAACAACACCAAGGTTCCATTCCCCATTGTGAACGATAGAGCTTATCTTTATGATCAAGTCAGAGTTATGCCAAGGTCCATGAAGGATTGAGTTTATGGGTTGCATATTGGGGATCCAGTTATCAGCAATGAAGTTGACTCTATCCCCTTTATGGACAGTCCATCTAGATGACTTAATACATACCTTCCATCCTTCTTGTATGCATTTCCAAGTCCTAGTCTTTGCTTTAGCCCTGGCCTGGCTTCCACTACAGTACTTTCCCATTAAGACCCTAGCCCAGATTATGTCAATATTTTGGTATAACCTCCAAGCTAGGCTAGTAAGATTGGTTCTGTTTTTCATCTAGGCTTGCTGTAGACCAAGACCCCCTGTTCTTTGGCTTAGTGATTGTACCCCATTTGATCAAGTGTAGCTTCCTTTTTTCTAGTGGTGCCCCTTATAAAGTTCCTCTAGATTCTGTCAATCTGGTTGGTTATGTGTGAAGGCAGCTTTATATATTGCATCACATGGTTGGAAATGCTTCCCAGGCTTGCTTTTGCCAAGGTTGTACAACCAGCCATGTTTAACAACTTAGTTTTCCAACCAACCAGCCTAATGTTCATGCTATCAATAATAAATCGGAAGTCTCTATTGGTAGGCATTTTATGGAAGATGGAAAACCCTAGATACTTACCAAATTCACAGCTTCTCCTAATTCTTAGCATAAAGCTACAACTATTTGCCCGGTCCTCCTTGCAATTGGCAGAGAAGATAACCTTAGAATTTTGGAAGTTAACCTTTTGGTCCGAGGCACTATTGAAGTCCTCTAAGGTTGCCAAGATAGTATCACAATTTTTCTCATTGGCTCTACCAAAGAGGGTGAGATCATTAGCAATGAAAAGGTGGGATATTTTGGGGCCATTCCTACTGATGCTAATGGGTATCCAGTCCTTTCTTAGGACTGCTTGGTCAATATTCTTTGAAAGCCTTTCCATGCAAATAATGAGTAGGTAAGGGGAGATTGGGTCCCCCTGCCTGATTTCTCTAGTAGGGTAGAAAGGTTCTGTTTGGCTTCCATTGATCAGGATGGAGATGGAACTAGAAGAGATACAAAAGAGAATCAGATTGGTCATTTTAGGTAGGAACTTAAAAAATAGTAGGGAGTCCCTAATGAAGGACCATTCAAGTCTGTCAAAGGCTTTTTTTAAGGAAATCTTTAGGACAATGTTAGCATTTTTTCCTTTCATCTTTTGGAAGTGGGTGATGTATTGCTGGACAATGATGCCATTATCTGCAGCTCTCCTGTTGGAAACTAGCCCCTGTGGGGCCAATTATGTTCTTGAGTAAGGGCTTAATCCTATTCACTATGATCTTTGTGATAAGCTTGTACATTGTGTTATACAACCCAATTGGTCTAAAGTTTTTTAGCATAGTGGCATTTTGGCATTTATGGATCAAGCACAGGAGAGTCCTATTTACTTCAGGTGACATTGTTGATGTGGAAAACACATTCTGACAGAAGTTGGTGACTTGGGCAGAGAGAATGTTCCTGTACTTTTGGTAGAAGAAAGGGTGTAATCCATCAGGCCAGGTGCCTTAAAAGGTTTAAAATAGTCAATGAATTTCTTAATTTCAGAGGACCTAAGAGGGATGGCAAGGGATGCTCTTGCTATCAGTTAGAACCAGTGGAGTGTAATCATAACAGTTTCTTTTGTAGCTAGATGAGACATCGGATGCGGTGAAGAGGTTTCCAAAGTACCTTCTAGTGGTTTCCTTGATGAGTTGGGGGTCTTTAATTTCGTTACCTACTTCATCTGTTAAGCCTAGGATCCTGTTTCTCCTTCTTTTGTTAATGATAGTGGCGTGAAAGAATCTAGTATTGGCATCTTCTTCACACAGCCAGCTAATCCTGGATTTGAGCTTCCAAAAATCCTCCTCATTCTTAAGGATAGCTGAGAACTCAGCTTGGACATTAGTTTCTAAGTTCTGAAGGTAACTACTGAAAGGGTAGGCATTAGATCTCCGAATACCATTGAGCATGGATTGAATGTGCTTTATTTTGTGGAAGATGTTTCCAAAAACATGCCTATTCCATGTGGTCACATTGGTCTTAAAAATGTTGGTGTCACCCAAAAGGTCATTTTGTGGATTGGAAGCCATTGTGAACAGTGGATGGGAACTCAGGGTGGCTACACCATATGGACTCAAATCTAAAGGTGAGGAGTAATAGCAGTGGTTAGAGTGGGTCCAAGGGAGGTATGTTACTGTGGATTCAGAGTATGACTCAATCCAGTCATCAGTGGCAAAGCACCTATCAAGCCTTTCTAAGATTAGGTCTTGCCTGTTAGTGTATCTTTTATTAGACCAAGTTTATTTAGATCCCTTGAAGCGTAGGTCAACTAGTCTATATTGGTTCAAGAAATTCCAAAAATGGGTGCTTTTACTATTATTGATGTTGTTACAACCAAATTTATTTCTAGCTTTTAGGACTTTATTCTACAATCCAACTACCTTTATAAACAGAGGCCATGTCCTCAAGGGACTGCCATAGTATAATTGTATCATGAATGTGACTACTAGCATAAATAGCAGAGAAGAGCCATTTAAAGTCAACAGGGGTTACCTTAATCATGACCTGAACACCTAGAGACGTGGTACAGACTTCCTCTAGATTCACTAGGTCATCCTTCCACATAACAACAATACCCCCCAGATTGCCCTATGGCAGGGGACTGAAACTGGGCTGAGAATTGGAGCTCAGTAGTCAGGTGCGTATAGTCAGCCATTCTTGTCTCAAGGAGAGCAAGAACAACAGGGTTGTGTAACTTGACCATGGAGGCACAGTGCCTGCGGAACTCAGCACTGTTGGCTCCCCTCGTATTCCATATTATGAAATTCATCAATAATGGGTTTTAAGATGGGGCTTTCCTCTTGAGGCCATTCCCCTTTCCCACATGGGTTGCTTTCACTCGTCCAGCACTGGACTTAAGTTTGCTGCTAAGTTCCCTGAGTTTGGAGATGAGAGAACTTGGAGATTTAGTTTGTAACTTGTGAGCTTTCTGGGGCAGAAAGCAATAAACATTTCTCTGAAAGGCTCTTTGAACTCGATCTCCTGAGCTTCTTGCATGAGGAATACTCTTGTCTTTGGGACTCCTAGTTTATCTAGTATGTTTTCTAGGTCTGCATTGGACTCCTTGACGTACACTAGAGTCTGATTTTTCTTTTTGATTAATTGATCCATCGCCGTTGACTGGTTCGAGGTTGGTGGGATCGGATGGTCCACCAGTGGCCACACGGTGAAGGTAGGTGTTGGGACTAGTGTTTCCAAGTTCATCAGAGGAAAGAAAGGCATCATTTGGCACAATTGGCTCATTAGGCTGTTGAGTTCCTCCAATGACCATATATTTGGCTTGGAGGAGGGTGGACAACCAAAGCTGGTGGCCAAAGTTTGATAGACCTTGGTAAAGCAGGTGGGTTGCTAGTCTTGCAAGGTAGCGTGGGTCTTGGATGGTGATGGATATTAGAATTGGCCTAATCATCATTTGCAGCGACTGAGACTGTCCCTGCAGTGCCATCTCCAAGCAAGATTTCGGCATCAAATCCGGTGGCAATGGGAGGGTAGACATCATTGAGGGGGTGGTGTTTTGGTGGTTGCTGTGGTTGTTTGGGCTCGCCATTGGGAGGGTATTCCTTCCGCCGGTTTCACTTGATGATAGAGGCTTCCCTCCAGTTTCCTAGTTATAATTCGTTTGGTGACTGTTGGGTTTCACGCTGGGGCTTTTGAGATCTTTGCTCAATCTTGAAGGATTGACACCCAGTGTCACTTCGCAACTCACAGGGTGTAGTTGTTTTTTACCAAGCAATTGATTACCTCTATTGTGAGAGGCGTAGTCGGAGTGGGTGTTATGATGGGTGGTGTGTAGGTTTGGAGTAGTATTGGGCTGGGGCACTGTAGAGGAGGGTTGGCCCACCTCATGAAAATTTTGGGTTGTGAGAGCATAATTTCCCAAATCGGGGGCGCCTTCTGACTTTGGAAGATTGCTCGATTTGGGGGAGGCAATGGTTAAGTTTGGTGTGGGGGGATCCCATTTTTCTAAAATAGGTATTTTTTGTCATTGGGTCAGGTGCGTACATGTGCCACTTTAACTCAGTGAATTTTTTTGTGGGCTAGCGTGTGTGCTGCCCATGTTGATGCTTGGGGTTGGGCCACTGTGAGGTAGGCCCGTTTTTAGGCCCACCTCTTTTTTCCCTTTAGTTGGGTTAGTTGGTTGCTTGTTGGGGCCCAGAACATACGTAGCTCCCCTCCTTTTGGGTTGTGGTCGACGGAATCCATATTCATAATGGGGTTGAGTTTAAGGAATGTACCTAAGGAGGTATTGAACCTCTTTACTTGGGTATTGGCTTCAACTAGCATTTTCTTCTGTTTTTTGTCACTTATATGTTCAATTGCTTTCTCCTCTTTATAGCTTTTTCCTACCTAAAGCACCGGTTTACACTTTAAAAACAGTAAACAAAAAAATATCAAAAAGATGAATCTTAGTAGATTCTTATCCATGCTATGAAAAATGATAGATGATGAACGTAGCTCACAATGAAAAGCTATGTAAAAGAATTTTCCGAGCAAGTTAGGGGTTAAGTATATATAAAGGCTTTATAAATCTTGTGGAATTATTGAACAAATAAATGATACTTAACATGATTTTAAGTTCAAAGCACTTTTTACATTGTAGCCATCAAAATTTGACTCGAGTAGGTTGAACGCTAGGTAAACTTCAGAAATGATCATTTTCGGTTTCTACAGTTGAAAAATAATCATGTCATGGATTTTTAATTCCCATAGGTGAAAATACAGGACAGTATCATGAAAATTCACCTAAAAAATTTGAAACTCTGTTGTAGCGACTATTTCCAATTACAGGAGCTGAAAGTGGCTAGTCCGTGCTATTACTACTTAAACACCAAAATTGTCAAAGTAAACCTGGGCCACTGAGGTCCACTTCTACTATCAAGCCCAAAATGTTGATATTGGGCTTTCAAAGGAATGAGTTAGGCCTAAGGGACTCAAATGTAGGGCAAAGTGCACAAGTAACAATCCTTAGGTGCTATTTAGGACAATTCAGAATATTTTTGTCTCGAAAAAATTGAGCTAAAAAATTAAAATTCAGAACCCATTTGCTAATTCCTAAATAGCAGCCCTTTATTGTGGCTACTTGTGTCAAAATGTACGGACCAAATGTATGTCTTTGGACCAAATTCACGTTAAAAGATGGGACCAAATTTACGCTAAGGTGATAAAATGGAATTCTCTAATTATGAGTGAAAGGCTTAATTGTTTACTGTATCATTCAACGATGAGTTAAAACATAATTTACTGTGATATTCGATCTCATTAATCACTCAAATCTCCTTCATATGAATAATATTCTCAAATTCTCAATCTGCCTTCTTTTTTAGTAATTTATTATCTTGATATATTAGCTGCCTTATTTAAACTAGTACAATAGTTTTAAACACCCCTTCGAGCCTTATATATATATGAGTTAACTCTACGTGTGTAGTATTAAGAGTTCATAATTTGATATCATACAATAGTGAAGAGTTAGAAAAAACATGAAGAGTTACATTGTGTTTTCTTTCCTCTCTTTGGCAATATTTTTCACCTTTTTTGGCCCTTTGCTAGGTATGAATATTTCTTTTCTAATGCATATCAATTTCTTTTTTCTGCAAATTTGCATTTGACGATATTTTTTGGGCATTTTTAATACTGTCTCCACTTGTGAGATTACACTGATTTTGCTTGTTATTGTTATTAACGTATATACTTGTCATGTTTTAGTGTCAGGTGACATTCAATTTTGCCCAGGAAGTTTCACCGCGGATGGGACGTGTGATAATATTAGTTGTGGCAATTTAGCTCTATTGGAATGGCCAGCTAGTAAGATGCCTCACAGTTGCAAATGTGCTGTTGGTGGAAGTAATAAGAGCAATTGTACATGTTTAATAGTTTGCTAATAAGCAAATTCGATCATATCAAATATGTACTGAATGATTATGAATGAACTCTGATAAAATTTCTCTTTATTGTGGTTGTTTTTGAAATTTTATAAGTTTAATATAAGGGAGTTTGCAAAGTTTGATCTCAAATCGTGATGGATCAATTTTCATCAATTCTTCAATGAATCTTTAAGAATAATAATGTAATAATTATGGGTTTCCATCCATTCTAACCATAATTAGCCAAAATTCAAGCTTAAGAACCACATCAGCCACTGATACTTGCTCCGGTAAAATTGAGCTTTGGAACAACGGTAAAGTTATCTCTGTATGACCTATAGGTCATGAGTTCGAACCGTGAAATAAGTCTCTAGTCTTTTCCTGAACCCTGCGCCAATACAGAATGCTTCATATCTCAATATCACATAATTGGAGTCCTTACCTTATTATCAGCGTAAAAACCTTTGATTGATGGTGATTTCCTTAGATAGTTCTCGCACAGCGTATCTCTTTGCTTAATTTTCCTTAAATAAGAGGTCTTATATACCCATATAGGCTAAAGGGTAGCCCGGTATACAAAGCATCACACATTTAGGTACGGTTTGGGAAAGGGTCGCACTCAAGAGATGTGATATAGACAACCTATCCTAATGCAAGTATTAGTGGTTGATTCCATGTTGGGTAAATTTGTGAAAAAAGAGACACGGTTACCACGATGCAGTAATCGTTTGGTACATGTGATAAGAATAATAATCCCGATGCAGTAATCGTTTGGTACGTGTGATAAGAATAATAATCCCACGATAATATTTGGGATTAACTTTATCCCATGTTTGATTTGAGGTATTAGCTAATCCCGAGATAACTTTTACACTAAAATGGTGGGATTAGTTATCCCATATAAAAGGTGAGATAACTAATCCCTTAGGAGTGGGATATAATTGTACCAAACGTCCCTTTAAATTCCTTAAATAGACTAGAGAGGATTCAGGAAAAAAGTTAAAACATTATTGAACAGAAGTTATGCCAAAATGAAAAAAGAAAAAGAAAAGCCCCCAAAAAAGGGATAAAAATAATTAGTTAAGTGAATATTTATAAACTTATTTGTTTTTGTTCATTCCTATTACAACAAGATGGACTTTACGAGGCTAGAACAAGGTGATCACCGAAATAAATTACTGGATAACTTAAAAAGATAGATACTACTGCTATAGATAGTTGGAACTTTGATTAATTAACATCTCTTATTTTACCTCCTTTTTTTAATTCAGAGACACCTGAGGTCTAATTAGAAGAAAAAGTTTGGCAATAGATCCGAAACAACAACAACAAAAACAACGAACCCAGTATATTCCCATAAATGGGGTAAAGGAGGATAGTGCGTATGCAGATGTTACCCTTATCTTATAAAGATAGGGAGGCTGTTTCTGATAGACCCTCGGCTCAAGGCACTGGCAATAGATCTGAAAAAGTATCTAAAACTATGTAAATTCCAAACTTTACTCTTTAATTTTATTAATAATTGGCGAATTATGAAAATGCAAAGTTTGTGTTCACACGAATCATAGATCGTTCATGCAAATTATTTTCATTAATTGAGCATTATACTCATAAGTCATAAACTTGCTAACATAATTGTATTTAATTTGGAGGTTGGCAAACTATGGAGCAAGAGCATAGGCTGCCACTTCCTTGTGAACTACAACTGCATTTTTGGGGCATCTCACTTGCAGGATAAATTTTTAAGGCTTCTAAAAAGCAATTGATATTGGCACACTGATCGTTCACTTTGAAGCTCGTCGGACATAACTTTGGTTGTTGCCCTACAATTATAAGAACAAACAAATTAATATGGAATAAATTAGTCAGTATATATCACGACGAGAGAATTTGTTGAAGACATAATTAAGTAAATAGAACTAGAAGTTTGCATTCTCTAACCGCTTAAGCTTTTAGATTAGATGGTCACACACTTCAACATGATATTAGAGCAGACACATATCCTGAGTTTGAGTCTCACCGCCGCTCAATATCAAAAATAATTTTCGCGCTTGGCTCAGCAAAAAGAATCAAGCCCGCAGGGGTGTGTTGAAAATATAATTAAATAAATAGAAGTATGCCCTCTCTAACAGCTTAAGCATTTAAGTGAGATGATCACACACTTCAATCGAAATCATTAAATAATCAAATACAAATTATGAATATCAAGAAGCAAAAAATTCATACCAAGAGAAGGAGCTGATAAGCTCAAGAGAAGAACACAAGAAAGTAGGGACAAAATAGTGAAATTCTTCATTATTTATTGGAATTGATTATCACTTTCTGTATGGTTGTTGAAAGTTGTTATGAACTGCTTTGTGCTCAATCAATTGATCTTTTATAGTGCCAAAAGAAGAATATAGTCATAGATGGAAAAAATTAATGTATAAGGTAACAAAATTATCAGTTGATATTGAACTATATTTTTGTTACAAAAGTTTTGGAATATGAGATAATTAGTAGGGAATATGCAAAAATTTCCTATCTTATAAAGAAATATGGTAAGTTAGCTTACCAAATATTTTTTGGTAACTAATACATACGGTACTTGTAACTTGTAAGGTCATAGACTTTGGATAATTAAGCTTGTAGCTTTTCTGAAGAGAAAATTTGTTCTAAGTTTAGTTTGAAGAAGCATTTTGCCTAATTAAGGATTAACATGAACTGGTTAATTAATAAGAAATTTAAAATAGAACACTATGAAATTAAAAGCTGGTTTTTTTTTTGGTAAGTAAATAATTTTATTTATGAAGCATAATTATATACAAATCAACACATCACAGTTTGTTCACTTAGCATAACTCCAACTGGACATGATGCCCCAGCTTGGAGTTACCTAAGTCTCACTACCTTTCTACCTCATTCTTCTCGTTCTACCTAGACAAGTTCTGGATACCAATTCAATTGTTCCATTGTTCTCACTAGCCTAGGGAACAAACTAGCCCTCACACAAATTTGCTGGATGATCAGTCATAGTATGGCTTTGGTTGACCTCTTCTTCTTCTGAAAAATGACATAGTTCTTTTTTTGCCAAACGTGGTAGACAGCCGCTACTAGAGTCATTCTGCATATGCAGCCCCTCAACTCTTGCCTTTACCAAATTGTTCTTTCCATTGTAGCTCTTCATGTCAAGGTTTCTTCGGTCTCTGTATTCCTTGTCAGTAAAACAATTGTTGCCATATAATTCCAGTTACTTCACATTCAAAGAAAAAATGTTGCACTGTTTCATTCTCCTTGTCACATAGGAAACATATCTGACCTGGAATGATGCCCCATTTGGCTAACCTTTCTTTTGTGGATATCCTGTTATGCAATGCTAGTTGCAAGACGAAAATCCATTTAGGCATTCCCTGATTGTTGCATACTAGCTTCCTCCATGTCACCTTCTGGAAGTCACCTTGCATAGCTTTGTAGATTTGCCTAATTGAGAAGCTCACCATCCGGTGAACATCCTTTGTGTAACCAGCTGCCTCGAAGTAATGCTTAGCCTTGAATACCTTCTGCATGATCCAGGAAGCACTCTTTGGATCTGTATCTCATACAGCTTGGTCTTTTATGTAATATGAATGTACCCATATCACTCAAAATTTCTCCTTGTTTGTACATATGTTTCGTAAGAGTTTACAAATTGGTGCTTTGTTCCACATCTCTACATTTATAAAGTTAAGGCCCCTTGCTATCTTAGGAGCACATAACTTTTTCCAGGTAATTAGTGCTTTTATAGTAGGTTCAGTAGCATTTGTCCACAGAAATCTTCTGCATATAACCTTTATGAACAGTATGATGGCAAGATGAACACCTAAGCCCATAAGGTTTGAATAACAAACAGGACACTTTTAACTAGCATTGCTCTTCTAGCATAAGATAGGAACTTAGTTATCCAGTTTTTAATTCTACCTAGTATCTTGTTAATCAATGGCTCACATGTATAGTTGTTAGCCTCTTAGTGTTCAGAGGTACTTCCAGATATCTAAAGGGTAGATCACCTTTAGAGTATCCTAGCATCTCCATGATTTGTTGCTGGATCAGGCTACTTACTCCACCAAACTAAACATTGCTTTTGTTTGAATTTGCTACTAAACCTACGTTGTAGAGAATGTTTGGATTTGGTTGTAGAATATGGTCACAGAATGCATGTCTGCTCTTCAAAACAGCAGGAGATCATCAACAAATCCCAATTGCACCAGGTTGACCTTTGCACACTTATGATGGAATTTAAAACTCTTATTATCCTTTAGTGGGTTCAATAGCCTACTCAAGTATTCCATAGCCATCACAAATAAAAATGGAGATAGGGGGTCACCCTGTCTCAGCCCTCTCTTTGCCTCCAAGGCTCAGTTGGTTTGCCATTGATAAGTACTGAATAAGAAACCGTGCATACACATGCCATGATTCATTTGACAAATAACTCAGGGAATCCCAGTAGCTTCATCACTTGTTCAATGTATACCCATTCAATAGAATCGTAAGCCTTTTGCATATCAATTTTCAGCATGCATCTTGGTGATATATTCTTCCTCCCATACCCTTTAACTAGCTCATGGCTCATAATAATATTATCTGTGATCAATCTCCCAGGTACAAAGTCTGTTTGACAATTGTTAATTAGATCATGCATAATACTCTGCAATCTAGATGTTAATACTTTAGAGATTAGCTTGTAAAGGACTGTACAACAGGAGATTGTCCTGAACTCCTTGATATTAGCTGGATTCTTCACTTTCGGTATCAAAGTGATGGTTGTGCAGTTGATAGCTTTGCACATTGTAGTAGAGTGAAAGAATTCCATTATGCTTCAGTGACTTCCTCTCCCAAAATATGCCATGTCTTTTTGAATAAGAGAGCATTGTATCCATCACACCCTGGTGCTTTGTTACCATCAATGTCCATCATTTCCTGCTTTATTTCTTCCTTTGTGACTGGCCGGATAAGCTACAGTTGTTGGCTACGATTATGTAAAGATCCGACCGGTCGTTTTGAGCTCTAGCGCATCGTTTGGCGGTTTGAGGATATGAGTTTCAGGTATTATAACTTGTACGCATGGTCGATATTGAATT